ACATTTGCATCATTGGAGTTTATGAATCTTTGTGTTTCATATAGATTTTTGTATTTGGAAACTTTCCCAGGAATGATGCAGCCCTTAAATCAGATATGGTCCGCAGGTCCTGACCTGCTGCCCTGACATTCTGGCCTAGCGTGACAGCATCACTGGACACATCTTTGGTCCTGAATGGGGTCTTCTCATAACTAGCAGGACTACCGAGGAGCCAGCCTCTTATGGTGAGGAACGGGGACTGTGCCCGCATCAACTCTCTGGAGCCCTCGGCTAATGGAACATCTTTAACTGGCTACCTGGTACGATGCTTCTGCTCATTACTTGCTGGGCGCCCTCTCTACCTGGTCACTCTCTGAGACCAGGCGTGACCCTCTTCCATGGACTGTGTGACTCCTTCCTACCTGAGAAATAACATGTTTCTACTTCACAAATACTTAATGGAAGAAACAAATATATATACATATCCAAGTATATTTGCCCTGCTTTTAAGCAAAATAATACAAATATTGTATTCACGTTAAAATTAAGGTAATCTGTCCATTGGGAGTCCCTTTAAATTGGTTCTTGGTGGTCTCAGTCTGCTCCAGACATTAAAAGGCATGACTGCTCCCTGGCAATGAGATGCTCCAGGTCCATCAAAGACCAACCAAGGCTGCCAGCATCCTTTTAGCAGAGGACAGTATTAGGGACCAAAATCTGGGGGCTGGGACACACTTGGGCATTGATGGTGGGCAAAAGTGACATTCTTTCTGTTCTCAGGCTTCTCGCGGCAGTGGCAGAGTCAGAAAGATATGTTATTCTTTTAAGGTTATATGTTTTATACTGATCTTTTCCAATGTAGTGTGCAGCTTCATAAAACTATTTTCTCCACAGTTGGAAAATAGGGAGTAGCATTTATTTTTATACTATCAAAGCTCAATTCATCATGAGAATACCACAGTAATAAACTCACCAGACTTGTCTTTCTGAATAGCTTTATCCTCAAAGTAGCAGAACATGACCTGGAAGCGGTCAGGACCTGTTGAGCGCAGAACCCTAATAAGGAGAACAGTTTTGAGTAAATTCTGAAAACTCCAGGCACTCCATACCACATTCTTGATACTGCCCAGTAATAGGCTATCAGGAACAGATTCCCTATGCCTTTCAGAGGGGCATACACTGACATGGACTTTCTGGAGGGTGATGCCTACCCATCTATCATGACATGTGCATACTCTTCCACCCAGCAACCCACCACTAGCAATTTATCTTAAGGGTTATGTACACAAGGATTCTTCTAATAGCACTGGCTGAATGTCCATCAATAGGACACTGGTCAGATAAACCAAAGTAAATCCATCTGATGGCACATTATGTAGCCATCAAAACGAGAGGTAGCTCTCTATGTGCTGCTACAGAAAAGCATCCAAGATGAGCTGTGAAAAGAGCAAGATGCAGGGGAAACAGGTTTCCCGAAGGCCTCCATGTGCCTTGTGTACATGTAGGATACATGTGCTTGCATATGCACAGAAGGCTTCCAGGAGGGAAAGTAAAAGACTATCAACAGTGGGCATCTCTGGATTCAGGGCTAGGAAAGTGAGGCTTGTCTTTTTATGTCTTTAGCATCTTCTGTATTATCCCAATGTTTTTCTTCTCTTTTTTATTTTATGCACCGTGAACATTTTTACTTTTAGAGCAAAAAACATCTTTAACCTTGTGGGGAAAGGAAGAGAAAGGAAAGAAAGGCATGAGCTTGAGCCACGGTCCCTGTGGAGGGCTCTGTGGGGACGATGCAGGCACACACATGGGCTAGCGCTCCTCAGTGTGTCCATGGGCTTTAGCACCCACTTTCTGAGAGTTAAGCTTCAGTGGGGCAGGCTTGGTGGCTTTGGGCACATGCAGTCTTGAGTGCTCATGTGCACACAGCTTTAATGTAATTTCTCACATTTTCCACTTTAAAGTTCTCCCAATAACCAGTGGCTGGGAATGCAAGCCAGGTTCTTGAATAAAGCTTCAGGGTTGCTTCTTCAAGCTAACAGAATGCTCTCGGGGACTGGCAGGCAGCCCAGGTTGGGAGCTGGGTTTGTGGGAGCTGCTGCAGGCTGACCCCTTAAAAGTCTTCACCTGCCAGCCAACTCAACAGCCTGTCCTGAGAGTCTGAGATCACCATTCACAGTCACACTTGTGGGGAAGCAGGAGACAGCGTTGCAGGCAGGCATATGAGGCTGAGGGTGGGGGTGTCTCTTACAGCCACACGAGAAGATTAAAACCAGGTTTTTGCTCTATTTTCGTTTGACTTATTTTGTTTTTCGCTGAAAATGTATTCTTTATTAAAAAGACTAGAAAGAACTATATTAATATGCTACAGGAGATGGTGGTGAGATCAGTGGTTTTTCTTCCCCTTCTCCTTATTTCCAAGTTTTTGTGTAATGTTCTCATATTTTTATAATTGGAAAAAAAAAACTATAATGAAAAAATTCGATAAGTCAAAATCCCCTAGC